GCCCTGCCATAAAACTATATTCACAAACACTAACAATGAGTACACGTTGTACTATATACACATTTCACATCTGAAGCAGAATATTTAAATATTTAATATTTATTATTTTTATAGTTATATCACTTTAATGTTTAATGTTTATTAATAAATACAATTAAAAATGTTTATTTTACAAATAATATAATAATTACTGCTAAAATTACAATCTAAAATACCATTCAGTGATCTATTACTAATGATCTAATACTAATTACTGTAAAATGACATAATTAGCATAAATAATTAATACATTTAAACTTTTAATTTGTTTATTTATTCGTTTACTTATTTAATTTTTAATGTATATTTTACTTTATTAAACCCAGACTAAATGAATGAATCTCTATGCAGGATTGATTCATTGTCTATTATGGATGTAAAAGAGAAATTATAGTAAAAGAAACAGAAATCTTGAGCTTTTCAACATAAACCATGAAATTTGAGACAGTGAATCTTACTTCGCTTAATGATTTTTTTTCTCTCTCTCTTTGTAGAATTTTTTTTCTAATTATAACAATATTGCAGTATTAAATATAACGTTATTACTAAATATAACAATTAAACTTTTTTTTAAATCTTTGAAAATAACATGATGTGTATAGATTATTGGAATTATAATTTCTTAATTTTTCTTAATTTATTTTATTTATTATTATGGTTTTTATTTATTTATTTATTTATTGTTTGGATGTCACTGCATTAAACCTACACTGAATGCAGAATCTCATTGATTTGTCTATTCTGCATGTAATAGCTCTGTCTCTCCAGCAGGCGGAGACATTGTTATCCAAATAAGCAGCACTACAGTTTAGGATGCAAATGTTAACCCAGGTCATGTGTTTTCTTTTAGAATATTCTCTGAGCAGTGCGGATCTCTCCTCGATATCTGGCTTTAACAGTGCCAACACTCTGCATCTGGGTTCAATGAGTGGATGGCAGCAGCATCAGATCCAGAACATGCAGCACTCTGCTCTCAGTCAGCTGGGGTAAGTCCAAACACAAACACACATGCACTTAATTACCTATACACACGTCAAATAGCCTGTTTTAATTCTTACACACTTAATATGTGCAACTTTCTCTCACCCGTACTGTGCTTTGTCACTGTATAGACAACTTTTCACAATTCTGCAATAGTTGTGAAGTGTTGTTAAAGAAATGTCAGTGTTTTGATTGTATCTTTGGCACCTGTGTACAGGAGTGCGCCAGCACTCGTTCCGATCCGTAACCCCCTTCATTTCCTTTCCTTCCTACAGAAATTGCTCCAGCACTCACTTATGTCAGGGTTCAAATCTCTCCCTGCCCTCTACTCAAAGCCTGCACATCAAGTCCGAACCTGTTTCTCCTCCTAGAGATCGATCCAGCAGCACTACGCCTGCCGGCTACGGCCCGCTACCATCCCTCCAGCAGCACCAGGGCCCGCCCCCACAGGGGCGACAGGACTCGGGCCGCTCCCCGGCCGACAGCCTCAGCAGCTGCGGCAGCTCGCATGAAGGCAGCGACCGCGACGACCACCGTCCCGACTTCCATTCGCCATTAGGATTGGGCCGGCCTGGCCTGGATGAGCAAGACAGCCCATCCGTCAAGCGTGTCCGCCTCTCGGAGGGGTGGGCCACATGATAAGCCATGCCCCGCTTGGACAGCCCCATCCTCGATCTTGACCTCGATCTCCCCATGCGCTAATCATTGCTCTCCCTTATTCTCTGATTTGCTGTAGAGAGGGGAGGAAGTGCTCTCGAAATTACCTGTATTTTTTTTTATTATTATTATTATTTTATCAGAGTGTGTCTGATATACATATTGTTGTGATTGACGGGTTTTCAGGGAGGGAAGCGGGAAGGAGGACTGATACACCAGGGTTGGGGAGGGTTTAGTGGGTGGGGTTACTATGCATAACTT